TCCTGTCCAATCCCACGTTTCCATCAGAAGCACAGGTGTACTGGTGCATAGTGCCATTGAGATCTTCTGTACAAATACCAGTAGGAGATGAGAGGAGCAACCACTGACTTACACAAGTAGAGCCTGTTTAATTACGGACATTGGGAAAAGCCTAATTGTATTTTTTCCCTGTTCTATTATCCTGCAATCCCTGCTTCCTTTTTTTTCTCTATAAAATTCCTACATGATAATGTGTGAATCAGTCAAAATTTCAATTACTTTTGTGCAGTAGATTTCTTATACTAAAAGTGGTCTGATAAAGGAAATGCCTTACCATGTTTTCTTCTGCAGTCCTAGCAGTGCCAGCTCCCTGATCAGTAGACATAGAACATCCTTCAACAGGAAAATAGAGAATTTAAAAAAAAAAAATCTCTTTGCCAACACCCCAGTTCTGCCTTACCCCCACTTCAGTATAATTATGTTATTAGAATCACCTTAGTTACTCCCCTTTGCGTATCTTTTTTCCAATAAACAGCATTAAAATGCACTTAATGTAGAAATACCTCATCAGAAACAAACAGTAATAAATTCTGATGGCTGACTCAGGTGCTCCAAAGCCGGGGAAAAGGCAATTCAACCACCCCAGGAATTCCTGGCTCTTTAGGATTGTTGGACTGATTCCACCCAACTGTAAACAATGGAAAATAGCCAAGGAGATGATGGATAAGGAAAAGGGGGCATAATGTCATTTCTCAAGGAAGGCCTTCCTTCTGGGCCTTGCTAAAACCTGGGATAATTTATACCTTTCCTAGACTGAGGGCATTTTAAAAGAGAGTAATAGAAAAAGGAATTTACAAAGAAAACAGATAAGCCATGGTCATACGAAACTACAGCCAGAGGCCTGGAGCTTTTGTGGCTTTTAGTGTAACAGCTTGAAATACATTTTCAGACCATCTAAGTACAGAACTATATAAACATTTCTTTTAAGTGGCTAATATTGTTTTTGCTCATATTTCCTGACTGCTCCAGAGTCAGAATCCATCTTGCTCTCTGCCATGGGAAGCTGGCCTGGATGGGTTCCATCTGCAGGCCATTTCTCTTCCCTCTGGTTTCCAGTTGGGGCAGAGATCAGAGGGAGGGAAGGGCAAACGCAGGTATTTATTCTCCTAGCTCCTTCCCTGTAAGGTCACCTTAGGCTGGCTGTGTCCTTTGAGTGAAGGCTGCCCTCCTTACAACGCAGCTGGTTTTCCGTAACTCTTCTCCTTGTCCTTTCAAGTTTAGTTTTCTCAAATCAGCTGTTCCCAGCTCTGGGGAAACACACAATCTTCTGTGCTCCTTTTGTCCAGTTTTGACTGTGCCAGGTGTTCTGTGCTGGGACTTCACTTATGCACACTTCCAGTATAGAAACTAAACTGTCATTCTTGAGCAGGAGGTAGTGCCCCTCTCTCCTGTAATTTGAACCTAATCCAATCACAAGTAGTAGTATACTGGGATTTGCACATGAGGGGCAAACTAGACTATCTGCAACCACTCATCTTTTTCTGCCTCTGGCCAGCCAAGGGACAGGAGCAACAAGTAAGGGGACTAGCTTGTCTATTAGTATGAAAATCACAGGGCCACAGCTGGCAAAACACTCGCTCACTATCACCCTTAAAATCCTACCTTCAATAATGATGTCTGTTATGATCACATAACCCTACCTTTAGCAGGGGCAGTAGGCAAATATCAATCAGAGGAAGGGACACTGGGTCTATCTCAACCTCCTGGGACACTCAGAGCTTTCTCGGAGAGATTATGAAATAAGGGAGAGCTTCTGAGGACCTACATCTGCCACTAGTCATCTAGGTGGGGATTAAGTCTGTTTCACATGCTTACTTAGAATTTGAGTTAACTTGTTGGATTCTAGTTTCCTGATCTGGAAAATATGGAAATAAGTAAATGTTTGTGGCAGAAAATTTAGAAAAAGTTTTAAAAAAATTTAACAAAGTTTAAAATAAAATGGCCCATAAAGGACAACAATGTTGCTTTGAGCAGTAGCAACTATACACAAAACTCCAAGAAAGAGAACACAGAGCCCAGCGACTTAAGGAAGTCCAGACATAATCAAAGTACCTAGGCAGGTGTGTGGCGGAGAAGGGGCAGCCTCTGTACAAAGGCAACCGTTTTTTAAAGTTTTGGCTGATTACTTTCCAGCTATGTTTCAATGCAAGATAATTCAGATCATCCTGTGTATTATTTTACTGCCAGATCTAAATTTTCTCTCTTTAGTAAAAACAAATAAAACAACTTAAATAACATGTGATTTTCAACTCGTTTACTCAATCCCTTGTTTTTTATTAAAATAGAAAAACTGGCAGTAATGGCAGCATGATGCAGTGGATGTGCTTGTGTACAGCTTGGTGTGTCTCTGACCATCTAACTCAGGATAATTTCCTAGAAGTAACAGTTAGGTGGAAATGTGGGAGCCTTTTAAAAGAATTTCTGAGAAATTTTACAAATGACTCTCCAGAAAATTCAGATCTATTTACACGCCTCGCCGCAGTGCAGGTGTGCAGCTGCGGGTCCTCTTTGATACACCTCTACCCGAACACCCAGGCACAAGCCCCAGTCCTCCATGAGATATTACCTGTGCAGAAACAGATGTATCTTCTTAACTTCACAGCTAGAATTACTGCTGAAGTCAGCAAAACCACTGCCACAATCAGAACAATTATCCTGACAACTGTTCCTTGGCTTATGTCTAAATAAAACAAATAACAAGTCTATAAGCTGGAAGAAAACCTACCAGAAAATAAAAGACAACATATAGGTGGGTGGGTAGAGTATGTTTACTGTTTTTAAAAGAAGCTATTTCTGTATTCTGGGTGGGAGGCAGATTTCATGTTAGTGAAAGGACTTTTCCTAATGAAAATACCTATTAAAGATATGGCCAACAGTCCTATCTGGACCAGAGTGTTCTTCATGAGCGTAAATAATACCTCCCAGTCTCAGTGTCTCTATTGTGGGAAACCTGCAAAACCTGTAATATTAGCCAGTTTGGGGCATAGTGGGGATGAGAGTTAGGAGAGGCAATGATCTTTCTATGCATTTTAAGTTTCTACTATTTTATATTGTGGTAAGAGAATGAACACATTTTTCAAAGAACTAATTACTACAAACCAGCCTCAGCCTAGTGTTATCCTTGGGGGAGTGAAGGGAGGGTGCAGTGCACCCTTGGCTTGGAGAAGACAGGATCCTAGAGGAACAGAGGTAGGAAGTGCAGAGGTGATGAGACCTGAGTAGGAGCCATGGTCTTGAGTAAAAGCTGACAGGTGACCACCTGGATAACAGTGCCTGGAGCTCCTCAGGAATAACTGGAGGAGTCCAGACTTTTTCTAGCATCTTCTTTGGAACTAGAATTGCTATAATTAGTATTAAGGGAAGTGGGGAGCCCAGAAGGCAGAAACTTGGAGACCTTGAGTGACCAAAGCCTGAGCCTGCTAATCTTGTGATCCACTCTCTACCGAAGAGTAAGGAGCAAGCATTAGAGCACAGAGGTCAAATTCAGGGGAAAACTATTTATGGCTCTTCTTTAAAATGGATGGCTTTGTATGACAGATGTCACTTATCATGAATATAATTTTACTTAATGTTTTACAGCCAATAAAACATTAATCTCCCCACATTTTTGTCATTCTGAAATTCTATACCCATTGTAAAGAAGGAGCAATTAAGTAGAAATATTGACTTTCTAAAGTGTTTTCATATGTGTGTTTTTCCTCCTGAAGAAAATTCTGCCATGACTAGCTTCTTACTTTATCCATGACCCTCAGTTCCCACATTTGTAAAGAGATTTATCCAAGATCATATGCTGATTCAGCATCAAAATTTGGCGAGAATTTTTTAATTTCACTCAATCCAGTGAAGCCTTTATAGAGAAGATCTAGACTCTAGGAGTCATGAGCCCCACCATCTGGGCATCCTTTTCCAGTACTGTAGTATCCCCTGGGCAAGGCAGCAAGCAGAAAATTGCAACTGACAACAGCACACCAAGTTTCCTTGAAAGACTGATGTCTAGGGTACCAGGACTATTTGTCCTATCTCCTGCCCTGATGGGTCACTCCTCTTTCTTGGGGGGAAATGTGGGCAATCCCTCCTCTAGTCTCAACTGGCCAGTGTTCAGGATGAGAGGTTCTGAAAAGCTTTTCTTTGACAGGGATGGAATGGTCCTGATGCTTCACTTTGTAGAAACTGAAAATTAGATCTCTAGTGAGAAAGACAGGCCATATGTGGTCTTCAGATCATTTCTTCCTGATTATTTTTCTAAACTCCAAAATGAATCCAACGTTCAAAAAAATAGAATTAAAGCTTTTTACATAAAACTGACACTTCTATTTTGAAGAAAAAGAGGAGATTCAACTGCATCTGTTTTCAGCACCCTAAAAGCAGCAGCTCTACAAAGGGAGTGCTATCAGTGTCTAGAAGCTTCTGTCTATCTGAAGACTCCTTGACCTTAGGACAACTCCATATTCTTATCTCCAAATCTCACTACATAGCATCTCCAACCCTCCAAATCTGTTATTTCTCCTAATTTGCATAACTAGAATGATAAAAATATTTCTAAAACATATGTTCCGCTTACTCATATCTCTAATGAAGAATAGAAAGAGAGGTGCCATGGTCTCCCACAATGTCAAGTTGACAGCTTCAGGATAAAGGTGATCAACCCACTTAGAAAGTCAACTTCATGAGCACACACTCCATGACTCTATGGACACTAGACTAGAAATATTTTAAGTTATGAATTTTGGCAGTTAGCTATCAGTAGAGGTAAAAAACGAGCTGAATCAGACATGCACTAAGTGTTTCAAATGTCCTTGGTGACTCTTCCCACCAAGGTCACAGACATGCTTCCCCAGCTTCCAGCAGAGCCCCAGTTCTAACTTCCTACTGGGCCTGTACATCCCCAGCTCCTGCAGCCCCAGCCCCAGAGGCACACCAGGCACAGTGGTAAGCAGGAGTGGAAGACATTCAGCCCGCACTGTCACAAAACGTGTAGGTTCCCTCTTCATTTCTAAATCTCCAAAGCCCTAAAAAGGAAATCTTCTGGGAGTAGTTTCTTCTTTTTCTTTAATGCAGGACTTCTGTACAGTTAAAGAAAGGAGGTTGTCTACCATCTCGACCAGAAGTAGCCTTGGAGATAGTACTTTCAGAAATACTAATCACAAGTATTCTTTAAATGCCAACCTGATTTTCCTGTTTGATGTTCACAATCTCTCCTGCTATGCCTGAAACCTGCCATCCAGCCTTCCTTGTAACTTACCTACATGCAGTGTTTGGACGGTGAGTAAAGTATATCTGCTTGAAGAAATATTGCATAAGTACTCCCCACTGTCTGAAGGATTAAGATCCTTCAAAGTCAAAGGGAAGTCATGCTGTTTTATTAGCAGTTTGTTCCGTGAAAGTCGGGGTTCATCGGTAACTGTTTTTCGCGAGTTCAGAAAGTAAGCCAGGACGGAGGAAGTCCCACTTTCCACTCTGGACCAAGTGACTGTGAAGTCTTGACTTGGTAGGAAAGAACTGTTTGCAGGTTCACATGAGAGTAAAACGTTCTCACTGTGTGTTTTACGAAGGCCATCTAACAACAGGAGAGAAAAGTAAACATCAATGAAAACAAATTTTCACATTTTCACTTAGAAATATCTTTGAAAATATCCTTTGGAAAGCAATTAGATATTTGTGCTGTGAGGTTTCTTAAGAGCTTTACTACAATTTTGAAGTCTCCCACCAAAGTTAAGTCTAGGCTTCAAGAAGGCCTAAGCCTGGGCCAACTATGGAGGTGACACACCCGGGTTTTTAGCTCCTACAACCTGACAATGGTCACTCAGTCTTTTTACCTCCACGTCTTCGGTGGGCCCCTTGAATGCTGATGTTCCCTATGACTGCCTTCTTGTCATGCTGTCTACTCCTTAGTGGCCTCTGCTCCTTTCATGGTCTCAGCCACTTCTTAATCTCTCTTTCTGGACAAAGTCTCTTCCCCTGCATGTAAGAAATCTATTTGCAGCTGTGTGCAGGCAATCCCCCACTGGGTTGTAGAGCAGGGACTCTCTGCGGGGACTCTCAGCTTGCCCCTCCAGAGCGAGCTCCCTCCTGTCCTTCCTGTGCTGGAGTTCTGTCAGCTGACCTCTAGGGACTACCATGAATTGTCCTCCCTGGTTCTAAACTCACCTAATTTGCGGTCTACCTGCGAGAGAGTGATGCCAAAGCAAGCCATCTAGAATGCCAGCTCTGTTCTCTCTGAGGCTTCATAGCCTCCTCTGGCTCCACACTCCCTCCAGGACCTGCTCCAGCTCCTCAGCAAGATGAAGGCCTTTGATCTGGTGTTTGCCTCCCTCTCCAGGCTTATCTCCTGATACTTCAGTTTCACCCTCAACCACTTACACTTCTACAAATCCAGGCAGTATTTATTTACTCCTCTGTGCTTTTGTGCATAGTATGTTTTTCACCTGGAATATCTGTGGTCTCCTGGAATTCCCTACTACTCTTAAAATTCTGCCCTTGTGCAACTTCCTTAAGCATATATTCTGTAACAACCTGATCCACAGTGAACAGAATTAATCACTCCGTTTGTTTGCTACCTTCCTGGTTTAGTTGTATTTTTACATGTTTGTACTAGATGCTGTGGATCCAGAAGTAAGAGTTCACAGTCTTAAGTTCAAAGTCTGAGTATGACAAAGCTTGGCACATAATAGATCCTTGACAAAACAAAATAGCACTGAGTCTAAGGACTCAGGATAGAACTTAGAACTTCAGGATACTCAATTCTGAATAAACATGAGAAGATATGACGGTCCAAAGAAAATATTTACAATTTAATATTAACAATTAACAACGGAAACACTTCCCCTAGTTTTCATTGCAGCCCAGCTGAAGAAAAGTGAACAATGGCTCACCCATGCCTTTAACACTGAAATCATATAAAGGTGGTCACATACTCACAAGTTTAGTGTCCTCTTGGTAAATATTTTGAGAATGTGAAACCCAGGGGTAGAGGCAGGATCAAGCTGGCCGAGTACAAAGACCCTGAGCTCACCTCCTCCCGTGGCACAACACAACTACACCTACGCTAGAGCAACTCTTGCTGAGGGTGCCCTCTGAAGAACAGCAGAACGGCTCACATACATCTAAAGATACAAAGCAAAAATCACGCTGCGGTGGGAAGGAGGGGGAGAGAAATGATCTCATCAGGACTCACACCCACAAGGGTGGTGCAGAAGAGAAGGCAAGGGTCAAAAACTGAGAGATCCTCCCTAAGGAGCAAGGGGTATGAGCCCCACACTGGGAACCCCAACCCTGTGGTCTGGCTCTGAGAAGATGAGCCCCCTTAACTGGTTTGAAAACCAGTGGGGTTTACAGCTAGGAGAACCAGAAATCTATTGGCACCTGAGACTCCACTGTTCAAGGACAGGTATACAAACTTACTCACTTCTACTCCCAGTGCAGAGGAAGAAGACTGAAGAGTGCCTGGTGGGTGCTCTAGCCAGCCTGCCAGGACTGCCCTAGCATGCCTTCCAGCCTGCACGAGGCTCTGGCTCCAACCCCACTCCCACCGAAGCAGCAGCCCTTGTATGTCCCAGGAAAGGCCCTGGCCTATGCTGTGCTTCAACTCTAGGCCACCTCCCCAGCTCCAGCTAACCCCTACCAAGCTGATGGCCCTGGTGTGCCCCAGAAAAAGACCCTCTCTATGCTTGCTTCATATTCAGTCCATGGACACACAGAGACTGCATGGGGACACTCCCCCACAAGGACATGCCTTCAAGACTGGGATAGGTAATTGTTTTGCCTAATTTCACAAACACAGAGTGTTGAACAAGATGAGAAGACAGAGAAATATATTCCAAATGAAAGAAAAACCCTAATGAAATGGAGATAAATAATTTACCTGATAAAGAGTTCAAAGCAATGATCATAAAAATGCAAAGTGAACTCAAGAAAAGAATAGAACACAGTAAGAACTTCAACAAAGAATTGGAAAATGTAAAAAAAGAACCAATAAGAGCTGAAGAATACAATAACTGAAATGAAAATCACTCTAGAGGGAATCAACAACAGATTAGGTAATACAGAAGAATGTACAAGTGACCTGGAAGCCAGAGTAGTAGTAATCACCTAATCAAAATAGCAAAAAGAAAAAAAATTAAATGAGGATAGTTTAAGGGACTTCTGGGACAACAGCAAGCATACTAGTATTTATATTATAGATGTCCCAGAAGGCAAAGAGAGAGAGGAAGGGGAAGAAAATATATTTGATGAAATAATGGCTGAAAAATTCCCTAACCTGAAAAAGGAAACAGAAATCCAGGTCTAGGTTGCTCAAAGGGTTCCCCCCAAAATGAACCCAAAGATATCCACACCAACATATCATAATTAAAATGGCAAAAATTAAAGATAAAAAGAGAATTTCCAAGACAGCAAGAGAAAAGCAAAGAGTCACAAACAAGGGGACCCCTATAAGACCATAAGCTAATTTTTGGGCAAAAGTGTTGAAGGCTAGAAAGGAGTGTATGAAAGCAGTGATATAATGTAAAGTGTTAAAAGAAGAAACATATAACCTAGGATACTCTTCCCAGCAAGGTTATCACTCAGAATTGAAGAAATGGAGTTTCTCAAACAAACAAAACTTACCAAGAGTTCATCACCAGTAAACTGGCCTTACAAGAAATGTTAAAAGTTCTTATTTAAGTGAAAAAAGAAGGCCATAATAAGAAAATATATGAAGGAAAAAAAATCTCACTGGTAAAGGCAAATGTAGAGTAAAGGAAATGGATCAAGTACTTTAAAAAGTTAGTATAAAGGTTAAAAAAGTTGTAAAACCAACTATAAGTACAAAAATTAAGGGACACACATAGAGATGTAAAATATGACATAAAAACAAAACTTTTGCAGGGAGAGTAAACATGTAGAACTTTTAGAATGTGTTTGATTTAAATGACTATCAGTTTAATATATATAATATATATATATCAGTTTAATATATATATATATTTTTAATATGTACAAATCTTATAGTAACCACAAACACAAACCTACAAGAGATAAAAACCAAGAGAAATGAATCCAACCATAACACTAATGAAAGTTATCAAACCATAAGGGAAGTGACTTAAAGAAGAACAGAGAACTACAAAAATAATCAGAAAACAAGTAACAAAACCACAGTAAGTATATACCTATCAATAATCACTTAAAAGTAAGTGGACTAAACACTTCAATCAAAAGATACTGGGTGGGTGAATGGATAAAAAAGTAAGAACTATTTATGCTGCCTATAAGAGATTCATTTCAAAGCTAAAGATACACACAGAGAATAAATGGATGGGAAAAGATTCTATACAAATGGAAACAAAAAGAAAGCTGGGGTAGCAATACTCACATCAAACAAAATAGACATTAAAATAAAGTCCACAACAAAAGACAAAGAGGAAATTATATAATGATAAAGGGGTCAATCTATGAAGATTTAACATTTATAAACATATATGCACCTAACATAGGAGAAACCAAAATATATAAAGCAAATATTGCAGACATACAAGGGAGAAATTGACAGTAATACAATAATTGTAAGGGACTTCAATATCCCACTTATATCAATGGATATATCATCCAGACAGAAAATCAGTAAGGAAACAGTGGTCTTAAATGACACATTAGGCCAGATGGACTTAATAAATAACTAGAGACAATTTCATACAAAAAAAATTGAAATCTACATTCTTTTAAAGGGCACATGGAGCATTCTCCAGGACAGATCTCATGCTAGGCTACAAAACAAGTCTCAATAAACTTAAGATTGAAATCATATCAAGCATCTTTTCTGACTACAATACTATGAAACTATAAATCAATTACAGGAATAAAACTGGAAAGAACACAAACACATGGAGACTAAACAACATGCTACTGAAAAACCAAAGGGTCAATGAAGAAATCAAAGAGGAAATCAAAAAGTATCTTGAGACAAATGAAAATAGAAACACAATGTTCAGAACCTATGGGACACAGCACAAGCAGTTCTAAGAAGGAAGTTTATCATAATATAAATCTACTTCAAGAAACAAGAAAGATCTCAAATAATGTCATTTTCTACCTAAAGGATATAGAAAAAAGAACAAACAAAGCCCAAAGCCAGTAGAAGGAAATAATATTAAGGTCAGAGTTGAAATAAAGGATCAAGAGACCAAAGATTAGAAATATCAATGAAACTAAGAGCTGTTTCTTTGGAAAGATAAACAAAATTCAAAAACGTTTAGCCCAACTCATCAAGAAAAAGAGGTCCCAAATAAATAAAATTAGAAACCAAAGAGGAGAAGTTACAGCCAATATCCCAGAAACAATCATAGGAGAGACTGTGAAAATTTATACATCAACAAATTGGACAACCTGGAAGAAATGGATAAATCCCTAGAAACTTACAATTTTCTAAGACTGATTCAGGGAGAAATAGAAAATCTGAACAGACTGAATCATACTAGTGAAAATGCATCAGTAATCAAAAAACCTCAACAAAATTCCAGAACCAAATGGCTTTACAGAATAATTCCACCAAATATTTAAAGGATTAATGACTAACCCTCTCAAACTATTCCAAAAAACTGAAGAAGAGAGAATGCTTCCAGACACATTTTACAAGCCCAACGTTACCCTGATACCAAACCAAACAAAACACTACAAGAAAAGAAAATTACTGGTCAATATTGCCAGTGAACATAGCATCAAAAATCCTCAACAAAACATTAGCAAACCAAATTAATTCAACAATACATTAAAAGGTAAACAACATGGTCCTACTGTATAGCACAGGAAACTATATTCAATACCTTATAAAGGCCTATAATGAAAAATAAAATGAAAA